TATAATTTTTAAAAAAATGCACAATTGTTTACTGAGCAAAGTCTATCAGCATGTAAATTATTGAATCAATGAGGTGCTCATAAGGAACTTGGTTGGTGTGCATCTTGCACTACTAGACAATTTATAAAAAGAATATCTTCAGCCATTTTGCTCATATGTTTGAGAAAACCACCATGGGGCCTGAATTGTATTTAGGTATTGAACAGGAGGAGAGCTGATTATAGCCTCCTGCTTGGGTCTTGTTTCCCTAGAGACATCTTATTTAAGAGATACAGAGTCAAGAAAGCATGGAGAACGATATGACATTTTACAACCTAGTTTTCATCAAACTTTATTGTAAATTTCCTTAGCATTATTTTAAAACAAAATTTTAAAAATCATTCAAATATTTCTTTTGCACATTTGGTTTTCAGTTTCATTATTTCAGAATATAAAAATGCTGGATTTAGCAAGGGGGATGCCTTTCTTTTAATAAATATTCTTAATATGCAAGCATCAAAGAAAGAGAGAGCATGACAAACTAGTTTACTAGGCAGTGAATACTTATTAAATGGTTTGTCTTCAATCTGAACCCGATTGCTAAAATAAATCATTTAGAAACTGTTTTAAATTTAAATTCTATATCCTGATGGGACTAGAAACTGTGTATCATTCTCCCCAGCAAATCAGCATCTCAAAAGACTAAATTATTTGTTTATTTATAAATGCATTCTTTTATGAAGGACATATCAATATTTGCAGTATTTTATTTACATTATGGAGTCATCAACAGAATAGAATTTTTTTCAGGAGACAGTCTTCTGTGGAGTTATAATTTCCCTGTAGTTATTTCTCACAAAATCCCTTAGAATTTCATGGATGCTTTGCAAAAGTAGTCCCAAAGATATTTGGCACTCGGCCTGGAGTTAGAGCATGAATATTATCTTTTTCTTGATTCTTATTGCCTCCTGATTTGAAGAAGTATCTGATTGTTCTACAGAGCCAAATAATCACTTTCATTCTTCCTTCCAAGAATGTTATTAGATTGGGTTTATTTTCAGAAATCTGTGAGAAATAATATTTGGATATTATTGTAATGACCTATTATTAACTAAAAAGTGTTCCAGTGGTCTCTTTCACTGTAGTTCAGCTTCCCATTGGGAGTCAAATTTTGAGGGTACCTCAGGTGGAATGTGTCTAAATGCCCTAAGGAAAGTAACTGGTGGCCAGCCTGTTAGTATGGAACTCTTGATGCCATTGACTGGGGAGTTTTGAGCAATGATTACAGAAATTTCGAGATGACGATTTTTCTAGCCCAGTGTCCTGCTCTTTACTTATATGGAACCCAAGAGCCAGGGTAAAGTAATTTCCCAATTTCATCCCCTATTGTGTCTGACATTAAGAACCTTATTCTTTCTACCTTAGTGCCTCCTTTAAGAGATTTGCTTTAAGAACTGTTAAATGCTTTTGGTTAAAGTCATTAATTTGTAACTTACCATGGCAGCTAGATACGCTGTTATTTGAAAGAGCTGTTAATTTTTCTAAGAGTCACTTCAATCAACAAAACCTCAATTCTTGCCTTTTATGACATTTTACAACCTATATTTGACCATACACTATTAAAAATCTTCGCTTGTGCTTTAGTGGATAACGGATGGAAATAACCTGGGAGCCTGTTTTACTACTATTTGAGAGTTTTAATGAAGAGTAATTTCAAAACCTGAGAAGCATGGTTTTATATTAACTGTAAATAATATAGGTATTATCTCTTAAATAGTTTTTTAAATTGATAATAAGTAAACTTTTAATCATTATGAAACATATCTCTTTGTTTTTTGGATAAATAAGATTTGAGAAATCTTGCTTTATTTAATTTTAAAATAATGAAAAACTATTTAAATGAGCTATAAAACTGATAATGCATCTAGAACTTTTCTTCCAAGATAGATTTATAGCTATATTGATAGCATTTTTTGTGGGCATTGCATCAGAATATTATTTCAAAACATAAGGTATTATTTCATAACATTGCCTCTCTTTTCCCCCTTTTACTAGCCCTCAACTACGTTCACTGTGAGGGGCTGTCCTTTTGTCATAACTAATCCCTCTCTCCTTTATCTAGCTAGAGAGATTTCTTTATCCTGTCAATACTTGGGGAGTGTAAAATGAGTCTATCATTACCAGCCCTGGCAGGCCTACAGGCAAAATTAGGCATGTATCCATGGTAACTGAAGGGAGGCTTTTAATTTTAACTTCAATTTTTTAAAGTAGCAATTTAATTCATTGATAAAAAAAATCAACCTGTCATTTAATTCAGCATAGTCTAATGTGTTAATAGGTAGACCAGAATTTAAAGCTGATATGTAATGCTTCATAGACAAGCTTTGGCAAATGAGTTCCATATTTTATTTGTAGAAATATGAACACCAAGTGAGCTGACATTGGTTAAAATGTTTTATAAACTCTATTTGCATTTGATTATTCCTGTATAAAACTTAAGGTCAACCTTTTGTTTTTGATAATACATTTTTTAGATCAACCTTTTTAAAGAGTACTTTTTGGTTTAAGGGTACTTTCACTAATTGTAACACAATATATTATGCTTTCTAACTTATTATAAAGGAATTGATTTTTGAAGTCTTCTTTACCTCACACCTGGATCCATTCATTACTTATCTAGTATTAGGTTCTTAAGAAAATGTTTTTTCTTCTGATAATTTCAAAAGTTCTTGGGGGGAAACAGTTCTTTTTCTTTTTGTAGGGTTTGATGCCCAAGCCCAAAATGTTGCTTGAAGAACATTATTTTACCATGTCAGTGAATGTTATTAAATCATGTAAAAATAAAATGCTTTCTAATACTTAAAACTCCCTCCTAAATTTTCTACTTTTCTGTATAACCTCCCCTGTAGTTTTCAGTTCTGTTCTCACAGTATTAATATATTGAGACCGTACTCTAGCTAGCCTTTTAAGAACATTGACTCAGCGAAGAAACCTAAATTTATAGGAGAGCTGCTTGCTGCTTTCTTGTGAAGCTTTCATTGACAAGCAGGTGAGGTTAGCATTTCACTTCATCTTCCTGTCAGTTAGTAGCAGGAAGATCAACAGAGTATAGCTGCTACTACTAATGCCACTGCCACCTCTACAACCACACAGAGTCAGGGGGAGAAATTTCCCAAAGAAAGAAAGTGTAAATTGAGCTGTGGAGTAGAAAAACTATAGCTACTACACTACTTTCCAATAGGTGGGCTTTACACTATCATATATTTCTTCATAATTCTAATTACAAAACAACTACTGTGCATGCTTTCATTCTCCACATCCTGGCTATACCTTTTATCATTTTCTTTACCTTTCCAAACATTTTTATTTCAGAAAACTTCTCAAGTGCCAGAAAAGATTACAAACAAACAAACAAACAAACAAACAAAACAAACCCCCAAACACCCAAGTTGAAGTCAAACTTGCTTTAAAGAAAATTCACTCTACGCCTTCAGTCCTGCAAGGCTGTCTTGCTTTCAGCATTTCTTGTGGCTCAGTTATAAGTTTTTACTGAAAAGTTAAACCAAAGCTGCCTCTAATATTAAGGCGATAGAGTGGGCTCACATTCCTAAGGTGATGACCATTTGTACTACAATAATGATTTATTTTTTAAAAGTAAATTTTACTAAATATTTACATGCTTTAATATATTAATTTTTATTCACGTAGTAATTTACTCATAAGTACCTTCTAAGGAAGATTTGTATTATTTTCTCCATTTTATAGATGATCACATTGAAGTATAGATAGTGACTTACAGAGGACCATAAGCAGGTTAGTAATGTAAGTGATGATGATGAAAAAGATGTTGAAATTATCAGTTCTGTTGGGTTATCATAAGATTATTTTAAATTATTAATATGCTTATGTTTGTAGAATAATTACTATTAGTACTGCAGTTTTTAGAATGCAAAGTAAATAAAGTGGGAGTAGGCAAGTGGAGAGACAAAAGTTGAATTTCAGATTTGGATATGAGTCCGTCAGGCAGCATAAAGTCAAAAATCTTTACCTTTTAATATGTATGGAGACATACCTTAGGTATTGGAGACAAAAGAAGCAAAAAATGTTATTTGTGGCCTACTTTCGTTATTTTCTACTAACAGGTAAAATAGAGCCTCACTGCTGATGGCAGATGTGTGAACATACAGTGCTTGGCAGTGGGCATCTTGTTCTTCGTCTGCTGCTGATTTACAGTTGAAATGTCATTATTGGAAAATTAACCAGTGCTTCCATTGCAGACCCTCACATATGCTTTGCCATCGTTCTCCTTTTTTCCTACCCTCTTATCTACCCTACTCAGTCGCTTTTGTAAAATGAATCAAAAGATTTGAAATCTTAGAGAAAAGTTTCTTTCAATTATGGTGTGTGACACTCAGAAATATACAAATTGTAGCAAATCTGGATTGACTTTCCTTGGTGGTAGTTCTGCCACTACCTCCTTATTTTACGCTCTCCTCTGTTGTCATCATTATCATCATCATCGTGTGACTCTTTGGGAAACTTCCTAGCTACTGAAGTGGAATTTACTGTTTGAAAATGTGTGCCATATAATTCTCCTCCTGTTTTCTCTACAATTTTTTTTTTTTTTTTAGTTGAAAACCCCTCACAACTACAGTGGTATCTGAAATCTTTTTTGTTAGACTGGTTCTTTCTAGCTCGTGTCATTTTTCCCTCAAATGTTAATATGTGGTTTTCTGTGAATTTCCTTTATATTTCTTGTTTTTGCTCATCTCATGAATTTATATTTCTTTTTCATTTTTCCCCAAATCAATATATTTTTTGAGATAACAAGAAAGTAAAATGCTATATAATGTATATGCATTTGGTTATTTGTCATCTTTAATATCAGGAAGTTTACATTTTATTTAGTTGGAAGACATGATGGACAGACATGAGCTGTGGATATATACCTGAATACCTAGCATAACTGTGTATGTATACTACTTAGTCTACTGTTACTGAAGCCTTCTTAATCTTTTCAGGAAAGAAAGGAGAGGCTATCCAAGTTTGAGTCTATTCGTCATTCAATTGCTGGAATAATTAGGTCTCCAAAATCTGCACTGGGCTCTTCAGCAGTAAGTAGGATGAATTCTATGTGCTACTGAAAATAGTCATTGTCTAGCTTCTTTTTGATAAAGCAATGAATATCATATGTAAATTTATCCTTACAGATGGAAAATTAAGTATTTATTTTAACTTTTTGTACGTATGTGAATTTGCACATATATGTTATAGTAAAACTGCATGTACCATCGATGTAGGGAAGACAAAAATAAGCTTGAATTTATAGACTTCCTTGCACTACAAATAAATAATTACAGGCAGCACTGTATGTACTTTGTGACTATGTTAGAAGAACAGTATAACATATCTTTTCTAGTGAAACATATGTTTGTTTATAATAGAGATTATTACATATATTTTTTACATATATCTGTTTATATGTGTGCATATTTTTTTAGAACATTAAATGATAAAGTTTTGTTTGAAATTTGGATTTGGCATGTCACAGTGGTAAATAGAGTATTAGTTATCCCTAGTAACAGTGGCTATAGCCAAGCAAGATAAAAAATATTTTTATTCCCTTTATGTAGTAAAAACATAAAGTATTTTTTTTTACTTTATTGCCTTTAAAACTTAATTACCAACCTTTTTATTCTTACTATGCCTCATTGATAACACTTTAGAGACTACTTAAGAATAATTAAAATTTTTTTCTGACATAATAGAGTCCTTTTTAGAGTATTCTAATTCGATAAAGGTAAAATAGAAGGTAAATTTTTAATGACTATAAATGATTTTTTCTCTATAAAAACTTTATAAAATGTCTCAGTTAAACATATTTAAAATATTTTATTGCAGTATACTTCACATAACATAAAATTCACAGTTTTAAAGTGTACCCTTCGTGGTTTTTAGTATACTCACTATATTGTGCAAAAATCATCAATACTTCCAGAAGATTTCAATCTCCCCAATAAGATACTGCATACCTATTAACAGTCTGAATTCTGCCTTTTTACTATTTTCTGCCAATTACTAGTCTACTTTTGATCCCTATGGATTTGCCTATCCTAGACATTTCACATAGATAGAATTATACAGTATGTGACCTTTTGTGTCTAGTTTCTTTCAATTAGTATAATGTTTTCAAGGTTCATCCATGTTGTGACCATACTTCATTCCTTTTTATGACTAATATTCCATTGTATAGATTTATCACATATTACTTATTCATTCATCAGCAGATGGACATTTGGGTTATTTCCACTTTTTAGCTATTATGAATAAGTCTGCAATCAATATCCGTGTACAGGTTTTTATGTGAGCATGTGTTTTTGTTTCTCTTGATTGTATACCTAGGAATTACTGGGTCATATGTTAATTCAATGTTTAAGTTTCTGAGAAACTGCCAAACTATTTTCCACAGTGGTTATACCATTTTACATTCTCACCAGCAATATATGAGTGTTTCATTTTCTCCATAATCTCATCAACACTTGTTATTTTCCATTTTTTAAAAAATTATAGGCATCATGGTGGATATGAAGTGGTATATTATTGTGGTTTTTATTTGCCCTTTCCTGATGACTAATGATGTGGAGCATCTTTTCATATGCTTATTGGCCACTTGTATATGTTCTTTGGAGATAAGATTTTTCATATCCTTTGAACATTTTTAATTGGGATGCTTTTTATTGTTGAATTATAAGAATTTTTTCTATGTTTGGGACACAAGCTTCTTATCAGATACATAATTTGAAAAATTTTCTCATTTTGTGGATTATCTTTTCACTTTCTTGAAAGTTTTTAATTTTGATAAGGTCCAACTTATTTTCTTTGATGTCTCATCTCCTTAAAATTCATATTTTCTAGACTATTGTCATATATGTTATTTCAATTTTAGATCATTTTTTATTAGAATTTAGAAAATAAAAATATTGGGAAATAAAGATCTTTCCATTATATAGAATAATATAGTTAATAAGATCTGCTTGCTTGCTGCTTTTTAGAAAATTATAATTCCGCTGTATTTAAGTTGTATATCCACTATAATGTTAGTATTATGATGCTTGGCTTCCACCATTGACATACAGTTCTTGTCATGCAAACATGATAAACTGCTTGTGTTTTGTTGTGTTGTCCTTCAAGTATAGCAGTTCAACCTTAAACTTCCTTAGTTGTCTTTATTCTTAAGGTGTTTATTTACCCCCCTTCCTGTTTTTTCCTATACACTAAGATGTATAAAAACGAGAAACAAAGGAAAATAAAAATTAATATTTTTGTATCATATTACTATTATACATGCACAGAATTCTCCTGTGCAGTCTGTTACATTTAGGAAAACTGAATACTATGCTCAGAATTGCAAGTTCTGAATCATTAGCATTAACACACATAATTTTCAAGAAGGGCTTATCAGAATTTAGTGTCTATAGTTTCACTCTAAGGAGAACAAATCTATTTTTTTACATGTCTGCTCAAATGATTAAAACAAATGACCTAGATCACGTTAGGTGATAACTGTATTCTATACAGGAAATTCCAACTCGATGGTAAATGTTTAAGTTTACTGAAATAGAATTGCATCCTGACGTATTAGAATGATCTGGTAACAGTTTTAGTTGAAATGTGTATATGAAATGAGCACTGAATACAGTTAATTAATTAAAATATGTTATCAATATTGTACTTTGTTTTATATATAATATGGTATGAGCTTAAGGAAATAATTTCTGATAATTAAAAAATAAAACTGGAGAAAAATGTGCAATGAAATGATCAGGCAAAAGAGCATGAATGAGAGTCACAAGCATAATTAGACAAGATAAATGGGTAAAAATAATAAAGAGAAAAGAAAATAATTACTAATAAAGAGAAGATGAGTAAAGGAACTAAAGACGTAGGAAAAAAAGGGAGGAAATCAGAAGATATTGGAGGAAGCAGAAGCGTTAGACCAAAAATGAAAGACCTTTAAGAAAATGTATTTTGCTAGAGATAGTGTCTCTTATGGGAGATCCAAGAATGTACACAAAAAGTCAGTCAAGGAAATAGGAAGCTGTGGAAGTAAGGTAATATTTGAGTTTAGTCTAGTTGTCTATCTTTTTAAATAAAGTTTCAGAAAGAATTGTATAAGAATCTCTGTTCAACATGTAATTCGGCCTAGTTATTATGCTAGACAAGTTATATTATTAGCTAAATATAAGGACTAAGTAAGTATAAAGATTAAGCAAACTCAAGTTCTCAAAAAGTACAAAACATTGTTATTTAAGAAATTTATGAATCAGAGTTTGTGAATTTCATTGTGGAAGGTAAACATTAGGTAAAGAATGTTTTGGTTAAAAATAGTGCATGAAGAAAGATCAATTTTTGAGAAATATTTAACATTTCTCAAACAATTTGAAAAATGTTTAAAATCTTGTGAGTTACTTATAGTCACCCTGTATATTATTAAACTAGATTTGAAACAGTTTATTACTTAGATTATTAAATTATTAACTAAATTTATGTAAGAATAGAAAAGAATTAAATACCATTTTTGTGTTTATTAAAAATTCAAAAAATGTTTAGTTTGTGTTGAAGTTTTATTTAGCTTGTTCAAGATCGTTGAGAGATTTATTGTATGTTTTCCATGCTGTTTTATTTTCATTTTTAAAAAAAAATGGTTTCTCAATAGGGTACTTAATTTTAATCAAATCCAGATTTTTTATTTCTTTTTAATACTGTATCTTTGCCTCTCAAAATAAAACTCATCTTGTACTTAAACGTTTGAGATAAAGGCATCAAAATCTTTATTATATAGCCTGAACTTAGGGTAGGAAAAAAATGGCCTATTATTTTTCCCCAAGAAAAAAATATTTTCATTTTCTAGTACCGATTTCTCATTGCTTCTTCACTTAAACCATTATTTTTATTTCACTAATCTTAGAATGTATTTGTTGAAGTATTCTTTAAGAAGAAGGCCCAGGAAAAAGAAGCAACTAAACAGCCAAGTCAATCAGGAAAGCTTGTCTTATGAAGTATAACTTGACTGTATTGGATTAACTATAACTTTAAAAAAGAAGGTTTAGAGAGATGATATTTGTGGTAAAAAAGCTTCATTTCATTTTTGATGTTGTTATGACAGCTCTTGGGATGTTGGATTTTGTCGTTGATACATTCTACATTTTGTTACTATCATGCTTGCAAAATTGTATTTGAATTTCTTGAAATCATATTAATGATTCGTTTATGTGAACTGAAATGTTCCTTTCAGCGCTTCCAAGGAAGTCCCTGAAAGACCCGATAGGTCCAGACAGGGATATGTATGACCTGTCCTTGTGTATGTGTGCACCCACCATGTACACAGACATACACTCATAGCAGATTCAGCCTACATTTTATAACAGTATTGTCTAGGGGCTGGGGAGCAACAGATCTCTAAGCTTCCCTTTCTACCCCAAACAAACTAATAAACCCAGAGAACTGAAATGTATTCCCTTTGAAATAGCAATGTAAATTCCTTTCTATTCATTTTTAAAAAACAAACTTTTATATGTTCTTTGAGGATTTTTTTTTTTACCCCAAAACATATTTCTCATCTTCAAATCCTTCAATGAATTTCTCAGAGTATTAGCTGAACTTTTGTACTTCAAATGCCCTTCTGCCTTAATGAATTCTCTAGGCTCTGCATTCTCTCAATTCTAAATCAATCAAAATTTGGGAGGATAGGTTGAATAGGATACAAAATCAAGCACATGACATTATTATTCTTGTTTGTGCTACTTTTCTATTATGTAGACCTTTGTAAGAGGTAGTGATGAAAACAAATTCTTTGCAAAGAGATGTCATTTAATTTCTTATTTTATTGATTTTTTTTCAGAGAAAAAAATCAATGAAACACTTTTGCCATTGGTAATATTTCTACTGTAGTAGAAATTTTAGTATTTACTAAAATGGGATGAACTGTGATAAAGTTTTGGAAAAGAAATATTTAGTCAAATATTAGTTGTACTAATAAAACTATTATTAGTATAATATATATAAAAAGTTATGCATTTGTTTTTAAAAGCAATATCTTTTTTTTTTTTTTTACCACTTATAGTATGGCTTGTTCTTTATATAATTTGTTCTGTAAACCCATTTTTGGGAAGATGATTTAAAGTTGGAGGGATATATTGCATTTATCATAATTAGTATTAAAAAGGCTTACTTAGCTTATTAAAAATTTCATGTACAGTCACTCCATACATATAAAGAATAAATAATGTCATAAATGGTAGAAGTAGAAACAAAAATGTGGACTTTTTTGAAATCTATTTGGAATTTTTCCAGGTTCTTATTTTAAATCAATAGGGTGAGTTTGGGATAATATCAAATGGAACTTTGAGTAATACGTTTTGGGCCTCTTCAGTGATACAAGACAGCGAAGGCTATCTTCAAGCTCATTTTCTTTACCACAAAGATACCATGCTTTGTCCCTATATTCAGTTCATAATATTAATTTGAAAAACCTCACATTATGAATATTTGCCTTTCATTTATTATTAATTCTAATTTTCCCAGTTTGTAAATTAAATAAGGCATTGTGCATAATGTATGTTGAGGACCTAAAGAGTTAGAGCACATTATATTGTACCTTAGCTGTAAATTCCTTACCATCTAGGGCAATTTAATTTCTGAGAATGATTAAAAACAAACAAAAACTTTTTACTTGTAATCACGTAATGTGTGACTTCATCTATTGTCGATTAGAAACATTTCAAGGAAATATCATCAGCTCTTAGTTATCTCTGCTATTTGGTATTAGCATTTGGCCTCCTGAAATAATAGATAATTTAATTTGCTTTTCCTGCCATGCTCATGGTTTATATTCTCCCCTTTTTCTTGACACGTGTTGTAATTGCACATTGGTGGTTTTCCATGATGCTATTTCTTCTAAGGCTTTATCTGCCATCACTGTACAGGATTAGGACCATCCATCCATGTGGCAAAGGTAACAGTTAAGGAAATCAGAGGAATGAGGATAAGAATGGGAAGGCACAGCAGTGAGGTGACATCAGATGAAGGTAGTGCTCCTGGAACATACGATATAGACAGTAAACAGCCCGTGTAATCAGGAATTAATGCCATAAAAAGAAATAACCTTTAATTTAAATAAAAATGAAGTGGTTTTGTGATAAATTTCCCCTTTTTATCATAATTCTCTGGTTGATAAATTTTTAAATATATGGATTTATTTTATGATATGAGTGAATAAGACTATAAATATTAACTCTAAATGCTAATATTGTGTATAACTATGTATAATAGGTAGAAAAAACAGTTATACTTAAAACATTGAAGGCTATGTCTTTGTGCTGAACTTTAGCATCAGTGCTCCAGGAGATATTTCTTTAAAAATTATGAAAATTTCATATTCATCATAACTTTTAATTGGTCAGTTAAGGAGAGGAACATATATAAGAAGTATTTGCAATTGCTATAAATTTTTCCAGAAAAAAATTACTATTTTCTCTAATCTAGTTTTTTTTCCTTCCAATATTTGCTCAAGTTCTGTGATACAGTCCCTGTAAGTGAGAAGCCCCTGGCAGAACAGGACTGGTATCACGGTGCGATTCCCAGAATAGAAGCGCAAGACCTGTTAAAACAACAAGGAGACTTCTTGGTGCGAGAGAGTCATGGGAAACCTGGTGAATATGTCCTTTCTGTATATTCTGATGGACAAAGGAGACACTTTATCATACAATTTGTTGATGTACGTTTCCAATTTAGTTTATATGTATATTCTAATGTGGTTCATTGTGTATAATGGTAATAAAATGATGAATAGTTTTTGATAAATGCCTGTAAACACTTAAAGTTTAGCGCTTAATTTGTTTTTACTGAATTTCTTAAATATAGTGCTCCAAAATGCACAAAAATGTTAATCTTAGCAAGGAAATATGTACTTTATAATACTGTAATTTAAAAATAGTTGATACAAACTTAAATTTAAATGCATATTGAAAATATTTTGAGTTAAATTTGAACATTAAATATATTTTAAATTAGAAATTAAAAGAAATGTGATTATTATACTTTTTTCTGGAGAAACTTAATTACGAATTTTATGTTCTTGAAACTGGCCCTTGAAATTGCTTTCAAAAATGATATCATGAGAGATTTTTAAGAAATATTTTATTAAATAGTGATAATGACATTTCTTAATGAATAGGACAGTGATAGTTGAATTGGTTTTATGATTCGATTAAGGTTTCTTTCTCTTTATGTATAAACTGTTGCTTGTTGGCATTAATAATAAAAAAAATTGATGAAAATTTAAAAAATGACCTATTCATAGTGCTTGTTCTAATACTAATTTTATTGAAATTTACTTGTCTTGCTAACTACTTTTTATGTTTGTTGCATTCTCTATTAAGTTTTAACAGATGAAGAGTAATCTCAAAATATTGTTTAACTTCGCCCACTGAGAAGATTTTAATGTTTTTGGCATATGAAGAAATCAGTGCCTCTATTTGTCATTTTTCACTCTATTTCAAATGACATGTGTTTTCATGCTGGCAGTTTACAGGATTTCAGTTTTTGCCCAGGCCCTACAGTGATACTAATTACCTTACAAAAAAGGTTGAACCATTATCATTAGATAAACCTCAATGGGATTCTGTATCTCTGTCTGTCTATCTGTCTGTCTGTCTGTTTACCTATCATACATCTATCTATATCTATCTATCTATCTATCTATCTATCTATCTATCTATCTATCTATCATCTATCTATATCTATCTAATTCTGAAGTGAAATTCACATACCATAAAGGTGATCATTTAAAATTATACAGTTCAGTAGCATTTGGTATATTCACATCTAATAACTATATTGAAATGACAATAATTGCCATTCAGATGGGTTAAAAGAAATAAGTCCATTTAAGTATTTTAATTTTTACATTATTTAATTTTACATAGCATTTAGACCTCAGTATGATAATCATATTTGCCTACTCTCATACATCTGACTTAACTGTTTCTAATTGTATATCATTCCTTATTTCTTTTCAAACTCTAATAATTTGTATGTACTTTTGTTACGGATGTAGATAGTCTTTCCTATTACAACCTGAACCATGTTGGTAATATTTATAAAATGGTATGAGAATTGTAGAAGAAAAGATCATAGGTAAAGTATAAGCTAACTATAATTCATATAATTGTTTCCCTCTATTTTCTAAGCTCTAAAAGGTACTATTTTTGAACTATGTCACACATTAAATAAGACTGAAATATTTCCCTTATTCTAGTTTAAAATGTAACTACAGGAACTTAAATTAGTATTCTTAGAAACAAAAAGGAAATGATGCAATTATCACTTGTCTTTAATACTGCCATTTGGTTTTAAGGGACTAAAGTGAACAGCATCATATATTCTAAAAATAAGACATGATTACAAGTTCACATTTGGAGATTTTATTTGGCTTTTTGTCATTGAAATTTTATAAAACTCTATTAAAGATGAAAGTGCTTATATTTTTGTCCATGCCTCAAGTTTTCTACTGCTTAATTTTATTTAGCTCACACTCATTAAATCATGGCAAGCTTTTCAGTTGAAAATAGAAGTTTTAAGGTGATATAGACCTTTGGGGGAGTTTTTAATTATTTTTTATTTTATATAAGTAAATCTTCTATGAGATAAAATTATTCCATTTCTTTCCTCATATACCTGTTGCCTGGAAGGGGTCAATAAATGGGGGAATTCATTACCAGATATTTAATCATTGCCTATTATATTCCAATCAAGGAGTTTATTGTCCAGTAGTAGGTTAAAAAGCTGTATGTAAATGAGGGAATAGGTGCCCTAAGAGAGGAAAGATGTAAAGAAATACAAGATTTTAGAGAATGGAATAATATCAAATAGTGGGTCAGTGAATAAAAGCATTAAACATAGAGTCAGAAGACTTGGGTTCCAGTCCCAGCTTTTCGCTTTACAAGCGCTATGCTTTGGGAAATAATGGGGTTAATAGCTTAGACAGTGATTGTCAGAATCAAATTAATGAAAATATATTTTGTAAGGTGTGGAGTGCTATGCAAATATTAGGTATTATTACCATTGTTTTGATTCTACTTGAGAAAAAATACGAATGTTATTTTGTAAGAGATATCAATGTAATTGGAAAAGTTAATTTAAAATTTTGATTTTTGGAGATTTATTTGTGAAATTTACATGGTAATGAAATGTTTTAGAATTTATTTACATACACACTTTATTACAGTGGTCTGGAACCGAACCCACTGTATCTCGAAATATGCCTGTATTTAGATTTGAATTAGTCATTGATCACAAATAATGTTATTTTTAGCAATATTGCCTCTGTCACCTAGAGTCTAGGATGGCAATTATTTTGAAGCTTTATTTTTGTATGCATATCTCCGTTACTTTTTAACATGATGTGAAACTTTGATTAAGATGGACCCAGATACTTTCAATTCTTACATTTTTTACTACTCTAGAAGAGCATATCTGTCGTTTTAGCTAGTATAAGCAAGAAGAACTGTACTTTTATTGGATACTAAACAATAATTTCATAAAGCCAAATATATTAAACATATCTAAGAGTATCTGAATCTCTGTTTAATTCTAGTGTTATTTTCTGACGTATTCCATAGTTACTAACCTGATTATGATGCTTGACGTAAAACTATATTTAGAATTTGTAACTAACACTGTTTATTTTGTGTCATAAATGTTAGATTTTCGTAGAAATTCAAATAGCTTTGTTTCATTTGATAAATTTACCAAATCCTTGCTTTTGTATACGATAAAAACCAAAATACATGTGATAAAACAAAAGTATTCCAAGGAGAATTTTTTATGCTATTCTAGGAAAGTGCCAATTAATATTTCTCTAATATGTCTGATACATATTTACTAAACACTCATTTTTGCTAAGTACCATGTTATGTACTGTAAGGAGATGAATCCAAAAAATATATGTCCTAATTCTCAGTGAGCTTAAAACCTAGTAAGTAAAACATTAGTAGTATTCCTAAACAGAGAAATATTAAAGATGCAGAGTCAGGAATGATTGAGCCAAGAAATTTGAATTAACATATGGTGATGAATTAAATATAACATAATAAATGTTTTTAAATAAAACAGAAAAAATTTTCTAAGTAATGACATATTACCATCTTTCATTTCTTCATTCAGGAAATATTATTTGAGCAACTACTATGTAAGGCCCAAGGATATGGACCAATAAAACAAAAATAACACAAGTAGAGGTTGTAATTACTATGTGAAATTGGGTAGCTTAGTGTATTAAATCATCATTCAGTAACAGATATTTAGATGTCTGTCATGTCATACATTCCATTTTGAGCTGATAAATTTAGTTTTTCAGTGTACCAGATAGGTTTACTTTGTTTTGTTGCCATAATCTCTAGGCTCTTTGAACTACCTTTTAAATTCATAATGTGGGACTTAAGAAAGACTAGGTGAAAGCAAGTGGAAATCCCAGACTTGTTTTAGTGACAGTTAATTCTAAGTCTGTGGCCTTATCATTGTACACTTAGGATTATTTAACCGTTCCACTCCAGACATTCAAGGTCTATAAAAAATTTTAACTGTGAAGCTTAAGGAAGTTAAGTTTGAGACACCATCCTAAAGAATGAATAAAAGTTAACTAGGAAAAGGCATACCAACACCTTATTTACTGTTAAGCTTATCCCAAGCTCCCCCAAATCCTTCTTGTATACTGGTTTAATTACTTATTTTTAACTATTCAATATGCCATTTTTATTTGAGAAAGCTGAAGTTTGTTTTAAATTTTTATTTTTAGGTATTTTACCAGAAAAAGGAGTGTTTTAGTTTTAGTTGTTTTTATTCAGCCTTTTGTTTTTATTAAGTTTAGTCATCTCAGCCTTTTTTAGAAATTATTTTTCCTTTTTTCACTTTTCTTTCTTTCCCTTAAGCCTGATTATCCTTGATTTTTGTTTCAGGAGATCTACTCAAGCATGTTATTTCAAATTATACATACATTGAATCCTCATGTCGTTTTTGTATGTATATTCCATTCTGTTTGACTTCTTTACATGATAACACTCCTCTGGAAATATGTATAGCAACAAAACTGATTCTGGTTTTTTGGTGTGTGTTTTTCATCTGTATGCATAATTAATTCTTAAGTAACAGTGATAACTCAGGAACAAATTCTAACTGTAGTTAATGTTTTAAAAACAAAAGTAATACACTCATGATAAAAATTCAGAAATATGTGTCATGGAATGTGCGCTTCACAGTAACACCCCCTTTTAGGTTCAGTTTATGTTCTTTGTATTCTAATTTTATGTATTTATGTAATCTTTATTTTATAAAAATTGAATCATGCTATATTTTTTATTCATACTTATTTTTAATGGCTTATTGTGTGATATTTGAAACATAATATAAATGACACTAAACAAAATGACCTTCGTAGAAATTTGTGGAAATTTTTTCCGCACTACTATTTTTTATCTCTTTTTTTAGAATTCCCATAAGAGATTAGTGGTAGCAATTTAGCTCCAAAGAGAAGTCTCCTATTTAAAAGTTATTCTGGATTCTCTCAGTTGTATTATTGTTAAAGCCATGTAGAAAAACTTTTTAAAAATCCATCTTTATGTGAAGCCAACCTCAGGTCATCTGAGCTATAAAAAATCGATATAGATTTGTACAAGTTTAAATATAATACTCAGAATTTTGAGTGTATCAAGAAACAAGCTCTCAACAGTTTTAGTGAATATACTATTCTTGACCTTTTAGTTGCTTAGATGAACTTTATAAGCATACAGTCTTAACATCATTTTTAGATTAATTACTTTATCTTCATCTTTAAGAAAGTGAGTTAATTGGTTTTATACAGTGTTGACATCAGAACTTCACTGATGTCAGTGATAGTTTTAAAAAGTAATTGCTAGGGATCAGTTTCTTATTTTAGCTCATGAAGGAAGTACTGCTGCTTGTATCACTCACTGGATTTGTCCATCACAATTACTATGTGAATGGCAAAAAAACTGCCTTTAAATTAAAAACTAGATATGTTCTTAACTTAAGAAAGGGAAACTAAAATTTCCCATTATTTTATTCACAGTTTGTCTAGTTATAAGAGGCATGTTATAAGTTTATATAAGACATTATGACACTTTTTCTGATTTGAAATTCTATGTGAACTTCATCTCATTACTTACTTTTATTAAACATCGTACTTCAGTGTCTTGAGTTCACATGAGATTGAACCTTCCAGTATTCATTTCTAAGTTGTCTTACTGGTTGCTTTAACTTTATAGTCATTTTATATGCCCTGCATATCATTCACTCATGTTTATTTATCCAGGCAATATATGTCAGGCACTGTTCTAGACGATGGAGATACTGCAATGAACAAAATAAATGAAAAAGTTTATCACCCCTTGAGCCTACATCAGAGGAGGAGTTAGACAACAGGATAAATACGTAAAACATATATGATGTTAGATAGTGATAAGTTCTAAGGAGAAAATTCAATAAGGAAAAGGAGGTGAGAAATTTAGTTGGGGTGAGAAAATGGTTATTGACTTATGTAGGGTGGCCAGAGTAGACCTCACTGAAAAAGTAACATTTGATGAAAGATTGGAAGGAGGTAAGGAAGCTATTAACCCATTTGGCCATCTGAGGAAATATTTCAAGTAGCAAATGTAAACATCCCAAGGAAGGAATGTATATTTGGATTTATAAAACCAGAAGGAAATGAAAGTGGCTGCAGTTGGGGAGGGTAATGGTAAGAGATGAGGTAAGAGAGATGATAGAGCACAGATTATATAATCTTGTAGACCAAGGTAAAGACTTTGGCTTTTATACTGAAGGAGATAAAAAATTTGAGCAAAGTACTGGAGTGATATAAAGGATCCCTTGACTTTTATGTTAATGTTAAGGTAGACCAAAGGAAAACAAAGGGAGAAATCGAATATATGTATTGTATGTATTTCAAATATACAGCGTAATGATTTGATATACATTGTAGAATGATTACCAAGATCAAGATAATTAACACACCCATCATCTCACATACTTAATTCTTTATTGTGTGTGTATGATGTGTGGTGAGAATACCTAAGATCTACTCAGCAACTTTCAAGTATACAGTATATTTGGTTGAAATATCATTATCATTTTTATTATTACATGTTACACATCTATAACTTTTTATATATCTTTATTTCTTAATTTCATATAAGAATTCCTTTAGGATATTTGATTATTACAGATAATCATTATTCTTTGAGAAAATGTAATTTACACTTTTCAGTGTTCTTTGAAAGTGTTTCTTTTCATATACCCAGATTTGGAGTTATTTTTATATTCCAAGGTTTATTTGTATGGTGATTTAATACTGGGGTGTGATTTAATACCTGGTCAGTGGTTTTCATGTTAATACTTCTTCAAGCCTCCCACTTATTCTGTGAGGAGGTCCAAATATTCTTTCTGTTGCCCCAATGAATAAACTGTGACTCCGAGAGAACTTGCTCAGTACATTGCACACCTAGTAATATATTAGTGTCCTCAGTGTGAAATATTCTTAGGCATCATTGCTAATATATCACAGAAGGTCTGGCTGCTGTGTACAAAAACTTAGGGAGTAATTTATTAACAATGCCCTGAATTGACTCTAACACTCTAACTGCCTTGAGTTAAATTATATTCTATAGTAAAGTGTTAAAGTAAGCTAATTTATTTTTGTTCCTCACTTGATGAAACAAATATTCATTTAAAAAATTGTCTATAAGTTAAATTCTGGTAAATTGAATCTTCTTTTATACTATGGAAAAGGAGCTTTGAATTTTTTATCCTTGAACTGAGAAAATTATCTTTTGGTCATGTCAATAATATCCAAATTTAGAGAGTTTTGAGAGTTCTGATTTCTTAGCATAGAGTTTTCTTGAAACAGAGCACCCTCATATCTATATCTATGCATAGCACCTGTATATGTATACATAAGCTTTTTGTAAACAATCAGATGTAAGCTTTCATTACATCACACTGCATTGCAATGCTTCTTACATTGAAAAGTATGGTCAATAAAATGTTTTTCTCTTACTAAATTTAACACTATCCATTCATTCTGTGTGATAACTAGCCTGCATGCCTATTCAAATATGAAGACAGAGAAAAAGGGTCTTGGCAGAGTTTGGGAAAATATTACTTAACCAATGTTATGAAATAAAGAAGTGCCGCGATTTGAGCATGTGATTATCTACAGTTTTGTCACTGCATTTTATCTATCAAAGACCATCATTTGAAGACTAATACATGAACAGCTTCAGTATATAAAATCTAATTAATACTACATCGATAAATTAAATAAGGATCATTAGAAGTTTTCTTAAAATATTATATTGGGTATGCTTCCTCAAACTTTTGAAATTATTTTTGACCTTGAAAATGTTATCAAATGGAGCATATATATAAGCATATTCCTATTCCTTAACTCAAATGTATCTCATACTTTATTTCCTTTGGTTAACATTTCAGCAAAGTACATACCAGGTTTGTTTGTTAGTTTTCTTTTTCTTTTTTACCAATTTGAATTACATTTAATTATTATGAAAATTAATTTCCTCATGGAAAGGTAGATGTTTTTCAGCATGCTGGAGTTTAAATCTGTTTTTATTTTACCATCTTCACCGTTTTTAAGTACATAGTTCAGGTATTCACATCATTGTGTAAAAGTAGTTTTTCTTAAAAGGAACTTAATTAGTTGATGAATGTAGTCATGCTATAGCAATGACTGTATATTTATTCTATTTTATTGTTCTTCCTCCAGAATATGTATCGATTTGAAGGCACTGGGTTTTCAAACATTCCTCAACTTATAGAACATCACTACACAACAAAACAGGTCATCACTAAGAAATCAGGTGTAGTTCTGCTGAATCCCATTCCTAAGGTAGGTACATATATATGTATATATATATATACAGACAACCAATCTAGATAAAAGAAAATCAAAGACCGTAAGAGCTGTGTAGAGTTTCATTTTGGAGGGGTGGGGCAGG